TGGTAATAGCAGCTTTATTTATAGTTACTCAAACTTGATAGCAACTATAGAAGCAGTGAAAATATCAGTAGTTGGCAGGGATTGGGGGCAGCTAAGGTTGAATAGGCAGAGTGCAGAGGATTTCTAAGGCAGTGAAAAACTCGGTATATACCATAATGATAGATATATGTCAGTAGACATTTTTCCAAACCCATTGAATGCACAACACCAGAAATGACCTCGAATGTGAATTAAGGACTCTGGGTGATAATAATGTGTCACTATAGGTTCATCGAGTAGAATAAATACACCTCTCTGGTGGAGGATGTTGATGGTGAGGTAGGCTGTGCAGGTTGGGGCAGGAGTTTATAGGAAATCTCTGTAACTCTTTCTCAGTTTTGCTGTGAACCAAAAACTGCTTTAAAATATAAGGTAGAAAAGTAAAAAAAGAATAGTAAATGGGCAACCTCTTCTATTTAACATCAAAACATATGTCCTAGAAAGCAGAGTGAGAAATGAAAAGAAATAAGATGTATAAGGATTAGAAGGAATGAGGGGAAAATTAATTATCCAGAAATTGTGTGGTAATCTACATAGATAAGCCTAAATAATACACAGATTATTATAATTAATATGAATATACAGCTTATGAGCTCAGTACATGATCTGTAAAAAAGTATATTATCTTGTTATACACTGTTTTGAGAGGCAAAAGGACTTTTGCAATTTACTGCTTTAGAAATATAAAAATAGGTACACTGCTTCAAGATGAAAGTCCAGAAAATATATTTAATTAATAGGGAGACTCATCTATTTATGAATGTCATTCAAAGCCAAATATTTGTAAGCAAACTTTCATAAATATTGGTTATAAAATAGCAATGCAAATGGGTCCTTATATCACTCAGTTTCTCTTTGAAACTTGCACTCTGTGAGGAAGGGTTGAGCTGTGATCTGTACAAGCAGCAGGCATTTATGGAGAGGAAAGAATAAGATAACTGTGTACAGACTCTGAGTCAGATTGGCCAATGCTTTCACAAATTAAATTAAATAGCTGCAAGCCTCACTTTAATATCCCTTTAAGAGTCAAAAATACCAAAGCCTAATTTTTATATGGCTGTTTCCTCAAATAAAATTTTAATCTCTTATGAATACTCATTTCTTTCCTGACAAAAATTTTTACAAGCTGTTGAGGTAGCATTTCTTGGGCATAGTGTTTTCAAAGGGAAAGAGAATTACAAAAAATGAAAAATAGCTTTGGTTAATAAAGCATGCCCAAAGCCCTGAAACATTATAAGTAAACCTATTTCCCAAAATGTTCATAAAACAAGGTGGATACAAATAATTAGAACCATATAGTGAAATACCCCACCTGTCTTGTTAATGGTAGTGATGACTACCAAAATATACCTTTGCTTAATCAGATAACGTAATGCAGAGATCAAAACCTGGTGTTGAGAAATAGACTTTAAACTGAAACCATGTCTCTTTGGAAAACAGAAAACTATGCAAAGGAATATATTGGAGGAAAGCTGCTGTCATCTTAAGAGACCTAAGGGGCAATGTCATCAGTCATAAAATAGCAGGAACAGCAGAAAGTTAAAAGGACTTCTTCACTAACAGTATAAAAACATGATTGTAAACTTCAAATAATCGCTTCTTGTATGAGTTGCAGAGGTGTGCATCACCAGAAAAACATTTATTCTGGGAAATCCTCTGGTTTCGTAAAAAGAAGGATTTGAATTTGAACAAACCACTTTTTGGATTTGGGAATGGATTTTATGGCTTACTTAGAGTCATCACTCGTGATTTGTGATTTTGAAAGAGACTCTGAAACTCCTCAGCTTGATATCCATGGTCTTCCATTTTCAAATTCAACTCAACCTGTTTGTTCCATCTCTCAGTTTCTCTGAATTAGCTCTTACTCCTCAGTGGTTGTGTTGATTTTTCACCTTAGAGCTGGAATATACTGTTCCAATTTCTGATCGGATTTTGCCTTCGAAGTTTCAGGCAAGGACTAGTTCTACTCCTTGTTGTCTTTTCACTGACTTTTTATGTTCTCCCTACATGCAAAATACATTGATGGCCTGCTATCCATAAAGCACTGTCCTGGACCCTGGGGAGAGAGCCTTAGTCAAGAGAGAGAGAATTACTATTTCTAGGATCATATTGGCTAGTGGAAGTGCAAACGAACACATCAACAAAAAATATCTGCATAGCAGGTCAGCGGAGGACAGCATGGGGAAATGTAAAGCAGGAGATGAGATGGGAAGTATAGGAAGCTCTGCCCTGTAGAGTCTTTCGGGCTATTGCAAGGACTTTGGCCATTGGACATCCCTTATTACACATTTAAAAAAATTGCTTACCGAATTTCTCATAATTCAATTACTTCATTTTCCTTATTTCCCTCTAATAGTTTAAAAACCTCAACAGTCAGAGCTGATACTTCTATTTTCCAGTCTAGCTCCTGAATCGCACACAGCAGATTCATGAGCTCTAATAAGTCTGAGATAACTCCCAAAGTATTACCAATGACAAAGACTGAATAACATGACTGACTTCTCAGAAACTCAAACCAAAATGATAAAATATAATCTCCAATTATTAAATTAGCTAGGATATTTTTATTAGAGAGATCCTAGGTTTGAACAGTAACCATTGGAAAAAATAATGTATGCATTTAGGGTACGAATATGGATTGATACAGCCTTTCTAAAGTGGAAATTATTTTTAAAGGAAGTAACATTCTTTTTCTTTAAAAAATTATAAACAGTTTCCAAAGTCTTACCTGCTTTGAATCCTTTCTAGACATACAGTTTAGACTAGGGTTTATTACACAGGATGTTTGTTACTGATTATTTAATAAAAAAAAAAACTGAAAAACTAAACACCTGTAGTCAGTTAAATAATTACTTAAATAAGAATTAAACAATAGGCATTCTCTAGATATGTCTACTCTGATTCAATGAAAAGCAAAAAGAAGAGTTTCTGAAGAAAATTAAAATACAATGTTAATAGAAATTATTAAGAAATCATCTTACACCTCCTTAGATGACAGAACTGGAGTTGGAAAGAAACATGGCTATCCAACTAGACACCACTTCCCAGTAAGATTTGCAAGCAGGCTGTTGCTATATGACCAACTTCTGGCCAATGATTTGTGAATGGAAGTGATCATTGAAGCTTCTCTTAACAGAAATTGACCTATCTTTTCCCTTTCCTTTCCTCTCTTCCTGCTTCCTGAGATGATCACCTCTTGGCATAGAGTGTGAAATAATAGGCAATGGAGACTTGGAAGGGTCTGGGAGTGAGAGGGTGCAGATGAAGAGAAATTGTTTAATGGCTACCATGTATGTTATTCAGGTGATTGATACACTAAAAGCCATGTAACAAAATTATACTTGTACCCTGTGGGTACACAATATCAGGATGCCTGTATAGAAACAATAGAATCCAAAGTAAAGGAAGTTACTCAAAATGTTGAGTATTATGCTTGTGCCTGGGCTTAAAATTTTAAAAATAATATTGATCGAATAGGGTTTAATTAGAATAAAGCAACCAAAAAATGAAGCATTTTGTATCACAATTAGATGTCATTTGAGATCTTATGATGGAATTTGGGGTTCTTTGACAGCACAGGGAAAAAAGGAAGACTTGACTGTTGTTCTTAAAGATTGAAAAATTTTAAGTTTATGAATTTCTTTATATGAATTAATAAATGAAAACAAAACAAAATAAAAATACCTCATAGCAGTAGCCAGGACAGCCAATTTGGAAACAGGTTAGAAGCTACATGCTGAAGGCAGCAAAATATAATAGAAGTTTCTCTGGTGACTCATAAGGTACCACAGTAGTCTTAGCCTCAGAGCACCTAACCAGAATTTTACCTGAAAAAATGATAATTAAAAAAAACTTCCAACTTGTTCAAACTATTGTTATTTTGTATCTCTCTTCTAAAAGAACTGGTCCTATATCCTAAGAAATTCACTTTTCTTCTTGATGCTTTTGTACATTCTCTAATTTTTCTACAATGAACATAAGCTAATTTATAAATATAAAACTAAACGCATGAAGTCAGCACCATTATCAGGATGCCTATGTAGAAACAATAGAATCCAAAGTAAAGGAAGTTACTGAAAATGTTGAGTATTCTGCTTGTTTCAGGGCTTAAGATTTTAAAAATAATAATGATCAAAAAAGATAAAGCATTGTATGTCACAATTAGATGCTATTTGAGATCTTATGATGGAATTTGGGGTTCTTTTATCTGATAGCATAGGAAGAAAGGAAAGACCTGACTGTTGTTATTAAGTATTGGTTTTCAATGAAGATGAAATAGGCATGATTTTAATAGTACAAATGCCCAAAAGATAAATGGTACAGTACTGTGACACAAAAGGCAACTCACAGAGGAACACTTGTACCTCCAAGCTTCCCAGAAATGGAATTTCTTACACTGAAAGAGAGGAAGGGCTAGGTTACAGGAAATGGCCACAGAGAGATGGACCGCTTGAGTATGTGGATTCTACACTTGGTAGCCTATGTAATAGATTCTGATTCTCCAGGAGACACCTGTGTATTTCGGTTCTGAGATTCTCTGACTATATTAGTGTATTTTGATTATTTAAGGGAGTATCAACTAGGGTGCTCCCTTATTGATTTGAGTATATAAGCAATAAAGCTCATTGGTTTAATTTCATTAGTTATAAGTTATATTGGCAATTTTTTTTTTTTTTTGAGACAGAGTCTTGCTCTGTTGCCCAGGCTAGAGTGCAGTGGCGTGATCTCGGTTCACTGCAACCTCTGCCTCCCTCGTTCAAACAGTTATACCACCTCAGCCTCCCAAGTAGCTGGAAATACAGGCACAGGCCACCAGGCCCTGCTAATTTTTGTATTTTTAATAGAGACGGGGTTTCACCATCTTGGCCAGGCTGAAACTCCTGAGCTCAGGTAATCCGCCCACCTCAGCCTCCCAAAGTGCTGGGATTACATTCATGAGCCAGTGAACACACCAGTACTGGTTGACTTTTTAAAAAATGTTTTAATTAACACATAATAGTTGTACATATTTATGGAGTACATGGTGATGTTGCAATACATATAGTGCATATGTATAGTACAATCAGCTCAGGGTAATGAGCATATCCATCATCTCCAACATTGATTATTTGTTTGTGTTGGGAACATTTAATATCTTCCTTCTAACTAGTTGAAACTATATGTTATTAATAACTGTAGTTATCCTACAGTGCTATACAACACTAACACTAGTCCTCCCATCTAGCTGTAATTTTTTGTCCTTTAACAAATCTCTCCCAATAATTCATTTCATAGAGACGAATTAAAATACTCAAACTAGACACTGTATTGCCCTGCATGATACAGGCAATGCTAAACCAAAGTTGACACTGTACATAGGAACATCTCACAGTTTTTCACTGCACTGTAAATGCTGCTTAATATATACAGTTAGAACTCACTAAACATAATGGATAGGTTCTTGGAAACTGTGACTGTAAGTGAAATGACATGTAAGATAACCAATTTTGCCATAGGCTAGTTACTATAAATAAGAGTAAAGTTTCTATAACATATTTCTCTGGTTACAAAAATATCACCAAACTTCTAAATAAAGACCAGACAACTCTAACATTAGACATTGAAAAAAATGTGACTTATACATACAACTAAGAAAGACTTATAAAAACAAGTAAGATAATTATTTACCTGCTTATTCCAGTTCAGGATCTCAGGTGGCCAGAGCCTACGCCAGCAGCTCGGGTGCCAGGCAGGAGCCCGTCCTGGACAGGACACCATCCCATCCCATCCCATGGCACACTCACATACACACACATTCACTCATACTGGGACCATGTGGTATTCTGTTTCACCGGAGGTGCACAGCTTTGGGATGTGGGAGGAAACCCACACAGACATGACAAGAACATGACAACTCCACACAGACAGTGGCCCCGGCTGACAATCAATATTTTTTTCTCCTCAACATTATAATAAAATGATGTTGAATGAAGCAATGTTATTCCAAGACCTGCTACAGCTGCTGAGAAAAGTGGCCGTGCAGTCACAGAGCCTCTGTAAATATAAACTTTAGAAGAGGCTTTGTGGTTTTTTATCTCAGACAGTCACTTGTCCTTATAAGAGATGGTAAAAGACACTTTACCACCTATCCACTTTACCATTGTTTGACACCTCCCTCCCCAAGGCGGCATGCAATTGGCCATGGGCGGACATTTCTTCCTGGGGACCTCCCTCAATCCATTCTGCTGGAGCGATCCAAGTAGCAAAGGCCTCAGACCTGCCTCGGACGTCGCAGTTTCCCTGACAAGTGGATGCAACTCCCAACCCTCACACCTTACAACTTCTCCTGAATTCTCCAGCTTGTACTGAAATTGACATGAATGCCAAACAACTGCAATGGACAATTACAGTAATTCTGAAATTGGGGAGAGAGGAAAGCAGCTGAAGGAAGTAGGTTCTGCCTCTCTGTTGGAAGAACTGTTAAAGAAAGGGGGTGGGAATCTAGCAGTCCCTTGAGAGCGTCTCAGCAGAGGCAGGCACAGACAAGCCTGGTGAACCCTGTCCTAGACGGGTACCGTCAGCTCGCATTTTTATGGGCACACACACTGAGGCAGTGCCATTGCGAACTCAGTCACCAGATGTCTCATGAGGCTTTTGGGGGGAGAATTGCTCATCACCCCAACTGGCTACACACCATGGAGGCAACTGCCCTCTGCTAATTGCAGGAAGTGCTGAAACAAGTCTTAGGTTCTGGCCAGGTGCTGGGTGAATGTAATTTCCTTGCAGAGTCTCTAACCCGTAATTGGATACTTGTAAACGCGTGTGCTGGTGATGGTGTCCATGCTGCTGCTGCTGAGATTCATGATGAGTTAGGCACAATCTCGGTAGGAACTGGAGCACACAGAACAACTCCACCATCCAGAGAGTTCACCGCTATGTTATTTGTTATAACATGGTCCATTTTTCTTCCCCCTGCTGAGTAGAAGCTGTTAGGAAGAGATTAGAAAGCCTATAACCATAATGGAATATAAGGGGTCACAAGGATAAGAGGAAACTAAGACCTAAAGGAAATAAGAGAGAGAAGAAAGTAGAATTGCTTGGGAAAGTTTGGCTGAAGTGGGTCCTTAGTTTAAATTTACTTTTGGTTTAAGAAGTACCGCTCAAGGTTAAAGCACGATGTAGTCTCTACAGGTGTATCCCGTGTGGAGTGAGGACAGGTGTAGAGCTGCTGAGCCTTTGATCACAGAAACCAGCTGAAATGCCCTGACTGGCAGCCTTGGTGGAGGGAGGTGTCCAGGCATGGCTTGTGTGCTGGTCCATGGATAGGGTGAGCTCGGCATGCGATTTTCTCTGGCAAACCTACTGTAAACAGGGTGGATTAGATTGGAGATTCCTCTTAATGCCTGAAGAGCCTCACATGCTTCAGAAGCCAGTTGGCTGCCTACACATCTTACTTTTCAGACATAATAATCATTCGGAGAGAGAGAGTATGAAAAGTGAGAGTGTCAAAAGAGGGCAAAATGACATTCATAGGTAATTTGTGATGCTAGTAATTCAAACCATTATTATTATTCTTTTTTACCTATTTGGGATGTTTTAATATGCTGTACATGATAAAACAAAACCTTCCCTAACTCAGAGGGAAATGCAACCTCTGCATTTTGATTTACCTCCCTCAAGGTAAACCTCCCTCGAGGTATCCTGGCTGCCCTCACGTCTGGATAAGCAACACGAAGTTCCCAGCTTCTAGCACAGGATAATCTAGGCATGCAGATTAGGTTTAGTGCCATTTGACACTTAAATATCCAATTTACTGGGACGACACGTAAAGACTATAGTTATTTGTTGTTACCACTGTGAGTATGTGTCAGTTGTCCTGGAATTTGGCCTGTGATGGGGAGGAGCAATGGAGAGGAAGAGTGGCAGGAGTGTAACAATCACACATACACTTTTAAAGAGGAGAGGTTTGGGCTTTTCCGTGACTGCAGTGATTTTTGGTGACCATTATGCTGACTCAGATGCTCAAATCATATTTTATTAGAGTGACTATTCAACAAGGACAGATCTGAGGAAAGCCCTCATCACTGTTGGCCAAAGCATGGGCTTCTCAGTCCGGTGATCCCATGTGTGAATTAGCTACGACTAACGGCACTCTGTGACCCTATTGTAGATGGCAGTAGTGTAGAGCGTTTGCTAATGGCATGTACTGGGACTCCTGGTTTCTACTCTTTTGTAGAAGCTAAAAGATACTGTGCGTCTGAGGGAGATGATGTTAAGCTTCCCATCTGTGGCCACATTTGTCAAAATGAATGAAAACCACCTTCCGTTATGGCGGCAAGGGTGCTGTGCCGTTTGAGTATAAATCACATATTAACAGATTGGCCATAATACCTCAAAGAATAAGATGTGCCTGCTTTAAAGGCGAAAGCTCGTATCATGCCAGATGCATTTCATTTACAAAGCACTTCAAGGCTGACCACGTATGCCCATAACACCTTTGTCACTAGGTGCCAGAGTTAGAAGGTCAAGGAAGTGAGCTTGGGTAAGTTTTGTGACAGATGGTTGTCACTCACAGCTGTTTATGCCTTCAAAACTGTTGATAAATAATTGCAAGGCATGTATCTCTGGGGTTGTGAAGAGTTTTGTGTCTTATATACTCCAGTCACAGTCTTTATTTTTATTCTCTTTTATTTTTATTTTTTTTGAGATGACGTCTTGCTCTTCCGCCCAGGCTGGAGTGCAGTGGTGTGATCTCGGTTCACTGTAACCTCTGCCTCCCAGGTTGAAGAGATTCTCCTGCCTCAGCCTCCCGAGTACCTGGGACTACAGATGCGCACCACCACACTCAGCTAGTTTTTGTATTTTTAGTACAGACAGGGTTTCACCATGCTGGTCAAGTTGGTCTCAAACTCCTGACTTCTGGCGATCCACCTGTCTTGGCCTCCCAAAGTGCTGGAATTATAGGTGTGAACCACTGGACCTGGCCTCCAGTCGTATTCCTTAAGGGCCTTTTTGCATTTAAGCCACACAAAGCCTAAGGGAAAAAATTCATTCTGCACAAACATATATAAAATGTAACTTAAAATTAGGAACTAATAAATTGGAATGAGGGAAGCTCTTCTGGATCCCTGCTGAAAAATAAAATCCAGAGTTAAAAATAATTCTCCGTTGTCGTACCCCTGTGTGTGCACACACAAACACACACACACTCACACAAACTCGCACAGCTTAGATCCAAAACTTATAGCTGTCTTCCATACTACATTAATGTCTTAATCTATTTGATACAGTCACAAAATGATTATGTATATACTCTACATAACTATATAAAGATATAATTTATATATTTCCTTTTGATCTCAGAGTTTTCTTCACCTCTTCTCTCGTATCAATCTCACCATGCTCCCACAATAAACTGCCACAAACAAGATGGCTGAAAAATAACAGAAATGTATTCTCCCACAGTCCTGGAGGTGAGCCATCTGAAATCAAGGTCTCAGCAGGGCCATGCTCCCTCTGAAGACTCTAGGAGGGATTTCCCCCTGGGCTTTGCGGTCTTCTGGCTCCCAGCTTACCTTCCCTGGTGTGCGTATTACTTCAGTCTCTGCTTCTGTCTTCAGATGGCCTTCTGCTCTAGGTACTCTCTGTGGATCCTGTACTCTTCTTACAAGGGCACTGGTTATAAGGTCCACCCTAATCCAGCGTGACTTCATCTTATCTTAATGAATTGCATCTGCAAAGACCCTATTTCCAAATAAAATTACATTCTGAGGTTCCAGGTAGACATGAACTTTTTGGAGACAGAATTCAACCCACTACAGGAGTTGCTATAAAGGAGTTACCTAGTTTGAGCATTCATCTGATCTATTGTTGGTAAGCATGTGGGGAGATAAAAATGATTCCTTGCTTCTATGATGTTTCAGTTACTGCTAAAATCTGCAAATCAAAAGATGCCAGACTCTCATAAAGAGACATTTGAGGACAGTGGTGTTCTACCTGCTCCTTGGTCATGTGAAATGCTGCCAAAAGGTCTGGATTTGGAAAATGATCACAATGTTGAAAGATAACTATTTCTCCAAGCTGTTAGTTTCTAGTCCAAGATGTGCCCCTTGGAAACCAGCCACAAGTATGTCTCTGAAGAATTTTCACATGGCCTATTGACTTACACACACACACACACACACGCACACACCCCTCTCAAACTGTTGGAAGCCAAATTGATCTTTACGTTTTTCGCACCACCCTTTTCCAGCACAGTTGCTTCCAGATTTGAGTTTCTGTATCAGTAACCAAATGAGTGTGGCCAAGCTCCTTTACTGAAAGCACACACACAAAGAAAAAAATCACAGATCAGAAACATGAAAGTGTACTCAATTTATGTGACTAGTGTGGTTACCTTCACATTAGGTCAAGTTATGATAAGAAAGGAGGCTCGGGGTGATATTAAAAAGAAAGCCAGAGAGAAAGCATGGGGAGAGAGACAAGAGTAAGAGGAGAATGATGGGGTGAAAATGACTTAAACTTGATATGAGTTGGGAGAATTTTAGATGAAAAAATAAATTACCACGTTTTCTTAAAACACAATACAATGTCACTAGCTGAGTAGAATTTTGTTTACAAATAATAACTGATATCCACATAGCAGGCACTGAACACCAGGCACTGTTCTTTCTGAACACCAAACACATTTTCTCTTTCTTTTTTTTCTTTCTCTCTAATTTAATCCTCACAACAACCTGTGATCTAGTTTTATATCCAGAAACTGAAAGGCAGAACTTAGAACTTGCCCAAGAATTGCAAGCAGGTCTGCTGGCTCCAGATTCTGGGTTCTGTCTCCAATTACAAAGTGCTAGTTGGAAGGTAAACATCTAACATTCAGTATACAACCCATAGTCATCTGTTATACAAGTAGTTTGGAAAGGAGTTTGGTACTCCACTACCTAATACCATTAAACACACACAGCTCCCCGGTGACCCAACAATTCCACGCTCAGGAGTATCCTCCAGCAATTCCGTACACACATAGAACAGGCAACACATACGAGAATGCTCATAGCAGCCAGATTCATAACTGCAGGTAAGCAGAAACAACCCATATGTTCATCGACAATCAATTAGATAATCACAGTGTGACTCTCACAGAATAACTCTGGACAACACTGGAAAACTATGTTTCTATGCATGAGAATGGAGGAGTCTAAGAAATGTTGGATTGAGGGGGAAAAAAGCCAGAGATATTTTATAAAGATTGAACAGGAGCCACAGTTAATAATATGCTTTTAGAGACACATGCACTGGTAAAATTATAGAAGAAAAGAATTAAAAAAAAAAAAGTAAAGAAAGAAAAAAACTAGAATTCCAGAAGTGTTGGCCTCATAATGGGGAGGGAAGAGGTAGAATTGGGGAGATACAAGATGTGTCACAGACTTTCAACTTTGAGTTAAGGAGTGGGATCTTCAGTATGATGTACTTTCCTTCTTTCTTACCTACATAAATGTTGTGCATGGAGTGTGGTTAATTTCTGTTATCTTAAAAAGAAGAAAATGAATAAAAGATAATGGAGTGAACATGGTATGGAAGAGATTATGGAGGTAAGGGGTAGATTACTCAGGCTGAGAAGCAACTAAGATAGAACTTAGTGAATAAATACTTCGGGAATAAATTATGGAGTGGTACATCTACATAATTTTACTGGCTGTTCTAGTTTCAAATTACATGTTCAATTCAGAGCTCGCAAATATTCAATTTTACATTACTATCTGATGAGAGTGAAATATTTTCATCCACAAAGGGAGAAAAAAATTCATATGCAAATGGAGTGAGCTAGAACAAATCAAAATTTAAATTATCCATGAATAGGGATGTGAATATAGCATGTATCAGAAAATGATTTTGGCTACAAGTTTGTCTACAAAGTTGATAAAAATTGGTGTTCTCAGTAACAACTGTAGTTTGTCAAGCTGAAATTCTTTGTAGAGGATAAGTAAAAGTCGCATGCAGGGTGTTAATGCATCCTGTAGCTTTCATGTAAGACAGTATGGAACAGACAATGGGCCAGACACACCCAGTATGCTTTGAGAATTGACTTTAACATGTTTTCTAGCTATTTTCAAGAAAAAGTTAAATAAACACGAATCTGTTGCTTTATTTTAGTACCTGATGATACTGAGATAGTCTCAAAAACTTCTTACCACTACATTTTAACCTAATTTTTAACAACTATATGGTAAGATACCTGTGCCATAGTTACTATATGGTGTGAGGTACAAGAGTAGTTCAATAAATATGTGTTGAATAAACGTATTAAACAAATATGGGGTCTCACAGTATGGGTAGCTCTATAACACTCTGGGAATTTTGTGCCTATGCATTTACAAACTTTTTGTTTATTCTTATAATATTTGCATCCTATTTAGGAACTGCAGTTCACAAACTTACTTTCCTAAACTTTCTAAATACTGTATTCTCCCCATCCACCTGTTTCTACTTAGTTTTCAAGGCCATAGAGCTGCCAAAGCATCTCGGGTTAACTAGGAAATGCTGACAAGGAAAAAGGAGGGAAGAAATGTGAACAGAGTCGCTCCTTTTGGACGATTAATGTCATCCATGGAGTAAATATAAAGTAATACATTTGATTTCTTTATTTTAAAGGTAAACAATATCAGTACCCACTCCTCACACAATTTTTTTTTTAAAGAATCCATGTAACTTGTCAAGACATAGTGATGCAATAACCACCTTTGTATCTGTATGGGAAAAGAAGCATCCTTTTTCAATTTTTTAAACTTTATTTATGTAAGATGCATATATTTAAAATAAAAACAAAATTTTAGCTGACAAGTAACTATTGTAAATATTAATAATATTTAATCATGTCATAGCTCATTATTTAAAAATTATTTTATATAAATCCCTTTGAAGTCCTAATTTTTAATATAAGATAGATTTTCTGCCAAAGCACATGATTTTATTAAGAATGAACAAAGATGAAAAGAAACTTGCATTTATTGAGCATAAGATATATGCCAGTGGTTCTCAAATGGATTATTTCATGAATTATTCCAATACGTCTCTAAAGGATATGTTATCCTTATCTCAGATCAGCAACCTGAGATTCAGAAAAGCTAAATAACTTGCCCAGAGTCACCCAGTCGACACTGATAGAACCAAGATTCAAATATTCTCTTTCTGATGCAAACCGTGACTGCTTTGTGGCAAAGGCCTGACTTCTGTAACTTAAGTTCTGAAGGAAATCAATATGTTAACATCCTTTCTACCCAAAACGACATTCAAGTAAATCTTTTTATTATCAATTTCTTCCCACAATTGATAAGTGAAGAGAGAGTTAAAGAAAGAGAAAGAAATTAAAATACATAATGGTGCTATAGACAACTGAGAAGATAGATATATGTATTATCTTCACATAGTATTAATGTAACACATATAATCAATTATTATAATTTATAGTTAATATAGTATGATATAACAAGCATAATCAAGTAATGTAGTTTATAGGTAAATGCAAAATAGGGATATAAATGCTTTCAAATTATGATTCTCACACCTTGTTCACTGTGTTATGTCTATACAAGACAGTTAGAAATCCAAGACAGGGTCTTGAAAAGGAGAGAGACCAAATAAAAATGATGGTAAATAAAATAAAGGTAATAAATAAATAAATAAAGGTAATACATAAAATAATAAAATAAAATAGCATAATAATATAGCTATACCCAATTAACCTGTTTGGGAAAATTAACAGAGATAAATATGGAGAAGCATGTTTATGTATCAATACCGATGTTTGCTTTCATTTGCCTAGAACATTGACCCAGAGGTTAGAGGTAGACCAGGAGGCTACAGTACAGTGAGGAAGACTTAAACCAACCAGACTTAGCCAGGACAAACTTAGCCACTATGAGGAAAGAGCTTGCTAGGACCACTAAAAGGAATACTGATTTATATACCTGGTTGAAGATCTTAAAGTATGTTGATATGAAACTGTAGAGTTAGGTAATTTGCTCTACAGTTTCATGTCACAAAGTCAAGGAGTAGAATAGGACACGTGTCTGTTGACCCAGGTTTGGGCATTTGGAGGAACAGAATGTAAGAGAGTAAAGAATTCTGGCAAGAGTGGGTAAACTGGTAAGTCATGAGTAGAAAAGAGACTGAAGGAGCCAGCAGTGTACAACTTGGATGTGGTCTGTGGCCTTGCTAATTTAGCATTTCATTCTGGATGCGGATTTCACATAGTGCCCAATACATGTTTGGCACTAAGCAACTGCATGTCACATAAAAACAAAAATAAACAAATTATTCAAAGGAGGAACTATGGGCCTGCATCCAGCTCTTGATGAAAACTTGTTAATACTCTATATGTTGCCAATAAGATCCTAAACTATAAAAATATTTTATGGTAAAATCATCATAGGATAGCATAGTAACTAGGTTCAACTCTGTTCCTAAGTTTCTGAATCTTGTGGAGTTCTGTGTAACTGGCCAGAAATATCTACCAGTACGGGGACTGCAGTAGCACTATGGTTATAAAATATATTTATTAACATATAGAATTATGAACTTTCACATTTTATCCTTGAGTCACGCATTATCTGGCTTTTGCCTCCATATGTCATTGATTCTTCAACCAAAATACTTTAAGATTGAATATTAAAATATCTGTGGTGTTACATTTAAATGACTTCATTGTTTTATTTGGAGTTTGATTCTGGTGTGTTTCCTTAACAATGTTAAGATGATTAATAATTTCACTAGATGATACACCTAATCCATGCCTCTAAAAATAATTACGTTTATCATTGAATGATTTTCTGCTAAATCCCTGGTGTTCTGCTAAGTCTTTCACTTAACCAATGTGTAAGCCTCACAAAGACCCTACCATATAAGATATTGTCTCCAGTTTACAGATGTGAAAACTGGGACTCATTCAGACAGTGAAAAAAAACTGGTCTAACGTGCCACAGCAAATAAAGCATAACACATGTCAAACAGTGTCTAAGTATTTTTCCCTTGCAGAATCTATTTTCTTAATTCTAAAATGAATGCAGTGTACAATTGCTTAAAAAACGTGTATTACTATTCTGTCGTTATGTGTGTTAACACTAGCTTTGAATCGACGTATCTTAAAAAGCATTAGATTTGACTTTAAATTTTACTGTTGATTGAGAGTAAAGATTTTACAATCCTGTGTTGCACACTAAGACATAAGACTCTGGAGTCTTTTCAGTTTTAACAGGAGAAAAAGCTGATAGCATTCTTCTGAAAAACTAGAATCTCAGGACCGTTTCTTGCTAAACAG